GGTGCATTGACGGCCGATAGGGACATGCGGGGTCTGCCCTGCCCAAAGCGGTGATACGGGGTCATCTGACATCGGCTCTGGGAATTCCCAGGAGAAGGAGAAAGCCCTGGAATTCACTCCACAGAAGATTTTCTACTGGAGCTGTCTTGTGCTGACACCCTACACTCAGCCTTCGACCAGGTGAGAAGAATTGATGGTCAGATGGTGCACTCCGAAGCAGCGCTGACATTTCTGCATTTTGTATCGATTAGGGACAGATTGCATCGAGTGAGATGCGACACTCGCACAGAGGAGGAACACATCCAGTTGTCGGTGCCTTGAAGCCGCCGGGAAATGATTTTCCAGGTGGTTCATTACAACCCAATGACCAGTCACATTGGGTATGACAAAACTAGATTGAATAATGGCTCAATTTTATTGGCCGGGCAGATGTGCACCAATAGCACTTGCCCTGCCCAGAGTGTCAGCTGGTTAACCAGCCAGTCATACAAAAAGGGCCTTTGTGCCCTTTACCATTAATGGATGTCCCATTTGAGCACATTGGCCTGGACCTTATCGGTCACTGGAGTGCACGTGGATATTGCTTTGTATTAGTTCTGGTGGATTATGCAACAAGATACCTGCACCATTTGTGCTAAATCACAACAACATTTGCTTTATAATGCAAAGTAAAGACCCAGCAGTATAAGGGCTCTAACAGATGATCCCTTATGAATAGCAATGATGGGAAGCAAAAACTCTCTTAATAGGAGGAAACTTCGGGTAGAACCAGGCTCAGGGAGCGGCCGCCATCTGCTGCCACCGTTGAGGCTGAGGGGAAACCCCCTTTGTGAGCATTAAGTCAGTTTCTATAGGGACAGCTCAAACGCTTGACAATGCTTTTATACTGTGTATAAACTGGAAGCTATCTCCTCAGTTTTAACTTGATTTTACAAGGTTTGAGTGTTACAAGGTAAAGTACAGCATTGCACAGCAGAGGTTTGTACTATGGCTCAAAAATCCCATCAGTTCTTCAAATAATATTGGTATATGATACTTTACAGTAACATTTTTTGTTTTTTATTATTATGTGCAAATAGAAATAATTGATGGTTTCCAAAGACAGCTAGCATGCTTAGATATGTACTGTATGAGTGCCTGGATTTAAAGGTTTTTATTTTTTTGATCAGACGTTTGTTAAATTTAACATTTGTTCAGGATTTAAACCTCTTTATTAACAGGTCAGAATGGTTAAATATACACACGCTTTCATACCAGTGAGTTGGACCTGAGCCATATAATTTCCACTGATGACGTAGTCGGTGCTCGGTGTTTGACACTCGTAGAAGCCAGCATCCGTCAACTTCACCTCAGCAATCTTCAGCTCCACCTCGTTGTCTTGGAGACGCACCATCGATATGTCGCCGGACGCCACGCGCTTGCTGTACATCTGGTCAGAGTAGCGAGAGTCGAAAGAGGAGATTATCTTTGTCTTCTGCCCTTTAGCGTCCTTTAACATATTCCACTCAAAATCCTGCAGGAAAAGAGAGGAACAAAGACGATGTGAGTGTGATATTAGGGAAAACTTTTAACAACATTCAGACTTGAAGCAGAGGAGCATATGTTTTCTAAAAAAAAAAAAAACAATAATAATAAAAATAATAAAAATGTATGTGAGGGACCAAAGTCTCACACATGACATTCTTGACTTCTATAACTGAAAATAAGCTCACAACAAATCCACTATTAGTTCATTTTTGAGGCACGTTCGACAATGTAGACAATGTTCAACAGTTTGAGGAAGAAACTAAAATAATAATAATTCACTAACTAAGACTGATCTGTGTGTGTGTGTGTTGGGGAAATGACCTGCTCACTAGGTCCTGTGTATTCTTTGACATCACATCTGATGGAGACTGGCTGGCCCTCCACCCGGATTAATGGACCAGGAGGCACCGTCACCACACGGGCCGAGCACCCACCTTGAAGGACAGAGAAAACATTTTAAAAGATTAAAAGTCTATAACAGAAAAAAATGATGTGTGGAGGCTGAGTTGGACTCTGAAACCTCTAAGATGAAAGAAAATCCTTCTGTATATGAAGCAAAAATAGGATTTACATGAAGAATACGCTGTATTTATATACATTTGCCCCTCAGTACAACAGACTATTGAGGTCATATTGACGTTTGCTGGGCCTGTAGCAGCTTGAATAAGGTAAGGACATGTTTGACAATGACACTGATGTTCAATGTTTTAATCATGGACAGTCAGGTGTACTGAAAGCCACACTGGCTGACTTGCAGCAAATCCTGGCTGAAGAACAGGAAGCCCAGCTTGGTCAGTGTGTGACCACACCTGGTGTCCAGACCAGCATGAGGAGGAGCAGCCAGGCTGTTGTGGTTCTTCCACATTTTTCCACAACCAAAGAGACACCAAACAAGGCTCAATAGCAGAAATAGCTGTTTTGGCACTGGCACAATAAACAGGCCTTTGTCTCACGCGCCACCTTGCTGAGGTAACACTTGATGCAGGTGAGGTGCTGGGTGAAATGCGTCCTCTGGGATGCTGCGGGCTTTACTGTGGCAGTGAGACCTGTAGAGCTCCTCTAAGAAGAGGAGAGCACTGTGCTGATGACTTTCTGGGCTCATCCTGTGCAGGCAAATCTCCTCATCAGCCAGGGTTTTTAGTTTGGCAGATACCCAGATGCATTTGTCAGTGGCGATGTTGTTCGTGGAGTGCTTGATGTAGGAGACCTCAGATGGAGTGTACTCATCCAGGTTTCCCTACAGACATCTACAGACTTTATGTAACAGGTTTCAGGAATTGCAAACTTGCTTTAATACAGATTTTACTTGCTGTCAAATCTTGTTTTTTTTGTTGTTTTTTTTATTATTTGTTGTTTGTGGTTGTATTTTGCTGTTTTTTTTTATATTTTAATTTATTAGAATCTATTTTAATCTGATGTTTTATTGATGTCTTTTTCTCTTTGTGTGTGACCTTGGGTTTTAGAAAGGTGCCCTCAAATAAAACGTATTATTATTATTAATATTAGAAATTATTAAGCTTTAGCAGTCAGCAGAGGTCTACAAACGAGGAAGCATTTTTACAGAGCAAGAAGATATCTTCTATTTTTAAACGTAAACCGGTAATCTGGCCACAACGTCAAGAAAAAGCACGATGTGCATGTATGAGTCAGCCTGCGGAGTGTGGATGTTTCATAAGTGACAAAACTTCATAAAAGCCACATTATGTTTCACTTCACCGTCTGTCAGCAGTAGTCTACAGTTTAAGCTGTCTTTATCTTCACATTAGGGATGGATAGTTGACATGTTGGTCTCAAGCTAATATGCAACTAATACAAGTTACTATCATGTGACCAACCACCAACATCTTTCCGATTTAATTCAAAGTATTTTAAAACACAATTTGAAAGTGAAGAAAATTCACACATTTGCAATATCAGGTCAAAGAACTCAGATGCAGCTCCAACAGTCCACTCAGGGTTTCTGAACTTCACCTTCAACAGATGTTTTAAGTGTCCACTTGTTTGTAATTGATGGATTTGCAACAACGAACAAACACAAATCCCAAAATTGCAGCACCTTTATTTTTAAAAAAAGAAATAAAACCACTAAAACATTTTGGTGGTGCACTCAAAAATATCAAAACAGAAACCGTTAAAAAGGAAAAAAGTGCAGACGCTTTATGGCTCGTTACAGGATAGGAAAATGAAAGTCTGGTGGTCACAGTAAAAGGGGAAGTACATTAAAGAGGCTTCCTCCTCTCCCACAGTACTAATGTGATGTGTAATGGGACAGTTCCTATAGGGCATATATCCAGATATGCCAGTGAACAGGTCCTGGTTTGTCCCTGTGGAGAAAACCAGGAAACCAGGGATCTGAGCCTGATCATAATAATACAGCTCATCTTTATGGCCGGGCCATCACTTCTCATGAGGTTAATGGGACCATGTCAACTCACGTTGGCTAACTGGTCTTAGTGGGAGTACAGTTCACTCGGGCTAATGAGAGGCTGAACAGGACAGAGACTGAGAGACATTTATTTTCAATCTCTTTGATTGACTTTTCAATTCGGCTTAATCCAACATACCAACCAAAACCTCTGTTTCACTCAAAAATCACCTTTTTTTTTTTAAAAAAAGCATTTTTTCAGTCTGTGACACTCACAAACTTCTTCCATTCAGATTCACAGCATTAGCACAGGCAGGCAGTTGAAAAGTTACAAATCAATTGGATGTTAAATGCACTATTATTTGTTTAAATAATTTTTTTTAAAAGTCCACCCACAGACAAAAATGAAATATTAAATTGGCAGACTTCAAAACGGGGATTAATATTTGGCTTCTTGTCAAACGATCGCCTGCCCAACACTGTTGCAGTTATTTACCAAAAATGCCTGCGAGTACTTAAACTGTTTAGCACTTGTTTAGCTACAATAGCAAAATGAACTGATAAAGATGTATCAGAGCAGGTAAATAATGCGCAGTGATAACGATAGTTGCAAAAGATATCACTTATTTTTTTATAAAACATCTTCCTAAATCCCGTTGACTATAAACATAACATAAAAAATATTTTCAAAATACATCACTTTTTCTTTGCTTCCTTTTTTTAAATAAAAGGGCACCAGCAGAGTTAATTAGCCACCAAGCAAAGAAGTGTCTCTTACTGAGCATGAAAATCCCAAAAGTGAGTGCAGTCACATAGTTTTCCATTTTCCTTCCACTTTTTTCCTTGTCCCTTGATTTCCACGTGTTTTCTCTGGAGGTAAGACCGGTCCTCTCTCGCCACTGACACTTAACCTCTGTATGTGAGTGCAGGAAATGCGTGACAGCATGACAGAGGAGAGAGAGTCTGTGAGTGTGAGAGAGACAGAGACTGAGCCTAAGATTGTGGTCAACCACCACACAGATGCTTGGGGCCCAGACTAGTGCCAGCAGGTCTCTGACAGCAGAGACCTGGCCTCCCTGAAAGGACCCCACTCGTGCCTCTTACAGTTCAGTGACATTCATAGTTCTGTTTAAGTTAATGGCAGCTAGGAACAAGAATGAAAATTGAAAAGCAGAAAGAAAGAAGAAAAAAGAGGAAGAGGAAAAAACCTAAATGCTGACAGTTTATTCTTAACTTTAGGTGACAGATTTCAGTGAGGAACCTTCCACTAGTTTAACACGAGCTAGTTTAACATTAATTAACTCAGAGCGGCCAGCTCTGTGTCCAGCTCTGGTGGCTGTAACATGACCGAGAGGCGTGCACAGCTTCCTTGGTGGTGTCACAATACTCAACTCAACTCAACTGTTTCACAGGGTAGGTTTTTGGGGGGTGTATAGGAAGGGGTGAGGGGGTAATATGGTGAAATCCTGTCCTGGTACAATACCGCCATACACCCTGACGCCTGATACACAGGGGCAGATCTAGAAGGGTGGCATGGGGTGGCAAGTGCCACCCTAAAATGATGTCTTGCCACTGCAAGTGCCACCATAGTTTTGCACATGACAGTGTTGTTTATTAAAATAACATAGCATTAGCACTTTGAGCGTAGTTACAGTCAACAGTGAATATAAATGCTAAAACTGAATATATTGCATAGTGTCCCCCCCCTACCATTAACAAATGGTTCAGCCCATATCACAGACCATCTTTTTTCTAGTTTTCAGTAGCAAGATGCTTATGATTGTGCCACAGCACATTTTGAACACCATGGGGATTTCAGATTTCACACAGGTGGTTGGTCGTTGCACTCTGGAAATGGAATAAAGGTGAGTGTTATTAACCCTCTGGGCTCCACGGACTCGCTGCACCTCCAAATCACATGACTGATGTAAGCTGACATAGCAACAAGCTGCAGCCAGGCTGAGTCTTTCAGCCCGCGTTGAAAGATTGGACTTCAACACAGATCTTTGTTCATGACAGTGCAGATTTCTCACAGTTTGTGTAATTTAAGCATGGAACAATTAGATTTTTTTTCTAACAAAAAACAGTGAAACTTAAGTTAGACTTGTGTTTGTAAATGATCCACCCCATGTTGTGTAGCTTTCTGGATTTTATACTTATTGGGCTACATATTTATTTATTATACAGGCTATACAGTACATAACATCACATGTTTTATGTAACTAAAGTGTTTAATTATGTGGGCTACAGAAAATAATTAAGTTATAGATGATATTTATATGAAAAACGTGTATACTTATTGCATTTGAATGTGTGTTTGTGAAAAAAAAGGCTTTGATTTTGCCACCCCATGTGATTTCTTTGCCACCCTAAGAAAATTTCTCTAGATCCGCCCCTGCTGATACACCTTCATGCATACAGGGCAGCACATCCAGACACTGTCCCCTGGCACAAAGACCTGTCTTGGTACCTACTGGCTACTTTATTCTTTCATTACCCTACTTCATATTCATCACCTGCAGGCTCGGGTGAAAGTTTCAAAACTACAATGTTTAAAATATGAAATCTGTACTGAGATGTTGCCACACAGTTAAATAATCTATGCCTAATAAGCACCTCACCTGGACAGCGCACAGCAGTGGCTGGTTGTTGCACATTGCCTCGATAGGTGCTGTCTTGTTGTTTAGCCCGCAATACTTTGGCAGCCTGGGTGGTGTTTTGGACGTTGCTGCAGGCTGCCCTGAACTGGGGATGTGGGCCAGTAGAGGTGGGTTTGTTTTATTTTTATTTTTTTTATCTTGGAAGGTGACGATACACTATGGATTTGTTGTATTCAGCAAAATGATCCTCCTCTCCACAAGTGAGCCATAGAGCCAGGGTGGGCTGACAATCTCGAACCATCACTGGCTGCTTCATCTGCTTCAGTTTTCCAGACGACAAACGTTCTGCTCAGTGGCTCTTTCTAGTTCTTGGGCTAATCTTAAATCCCACTTTTGACACTAGTGTGGCAAACTCACATCAAAGTGTTAAAATTTGCAATTCTTCTGATCAAAGACCGCTCAGCCTCAGAAATGCAGCTTTATTAGTGTTAACACACGCACACAAACAGGAAATAGTGGCCCCGGCGGTCAGCAATTGTCACGGCAGTCTCAGACATTATGCATTTTAGAGCTCACATACTCATAAATATGGAGCTAGATTGCCATCTTGTGGCCAATAAGAGGAACGATGATATAAATGCACAAAACACAGGGTAGGATAACAGAAGGGAAACACCGAGGAGACTAAAAATAACCAAAAAACACCAAACTGGAGGTTGGCATATAACTAACACCAAACAGGAACCAACAACTTAGATGCTGAAGCAGTCGCTTCAGCATCTTCAGCAGCTTTTCTAGTAGTAATTTCTTGAGAGCTCCATTCATCCATCAATCCATCTTCTTCTATTTATCCAATTCAGGTCATGGTTGGCCTTTAGCCCGTCCGGGCTGTTACAGGGTGAGAGGCGGGACTTTCAATAAATACGTGATTAAATGAGACTAAAACTTCATAATGAGCAAGTTATATTTTTGTGTGCAGCAGGTTTGCATTGTGTGACATCGCTTTCCTGTAATCTGTTCATGGTGCAGGTGTGAAAGTTGCAATTGCACTATTCGAGCATGCAACACTAAAAAAGAGGAGTCAGTGTAAATGGAGTTAGTTTTTATAAGTGGCAGATACATTTAGATACAACTTCTCAGCTCAGCAGTGC